GGCAAATTAAAGGATCTATTTAGCCATTTAACAACATTATGTGTCTATTTATGATGATGATTTTCCTTCCCCTTTAAAGAAGAGTTCAGAGCTAAAAAGGAAAAAAATTGAGCAAAATGTTCAAAAGGGCAACAAAAATTGAGGAACAAATCAAAAGGGCAATATTTGAATGGAAGGATAGGTGTTGTTAAATCGTTGGTTGAATGGCGCTACCGTAGAAGACTTTATTTGAAGACGGTGATGGTGCTAAGACATTCTGTGCTTTTAATCCAACTCAAGCCGAAGAAACTTATTCAATGGTCCCCGCTAACCGCTTTTGGTCCCAAATCTTTGGGGTTGCTTTTTCCAATAAACGTTGGTTACATTCTTTATGTTATTTGTTCTAGTAATCATTTTATGGATGAGTGCTCTTGGAGTAGTCGGGTGCTCTTGAACATAATCCTTGTAAGGTGCACACTGACATGAGCCTTATAAGACGCATGTTGACATGAGTCTTACAATTACAACATTAAAAAAACGTTCAAAAGATATTAATATTCATTCTCCATTATATATTCAATCATTTTGTTGTTGTGTTTTCGTGTTTATTTTTTTTCTATTTTCACTATTTATATGTAAATAAAAATGTAAGTGGTGTGGTCAAGTCACTATTTAGGCGTATCGTTCGGTTCAATCCGGTGTTGAAATTTATCGATTTGACTTATTGATTATCGGTTTGTAGCCGTTAAGAACCAATAATGTGATAACAAAAAAAAAATCAAAACCGTTATCAATTAAATATTGAACTCATTAAATTTAAATCGATAATAAATCAAGCTTTCATGGCACACTTATTTGTAGATACGCGTACACATATATAATCCTGTAATTATATAAAATATACATATTAAAATTAAAATGATGACATGTTTATATATACTATTAATTGAATTTATAAACTCATGATCTTTTAATGACAATTATCATGAGTTAAAAATAAGTATGTGCGTACGTTTATCTACAAACAAGTGTGTGTCACGAGAGATTGATTTTTTATCGCTTAAAATTTAATGGGTTCAATATTTAATTGATAACGGTTTTGATTTTTTTTTGTTATCACATTATTGGTTCTTAGGTTTGAATAAACACGAAAACACAACAACAAAATGATTGAATAAATAATGGAGAAGCAATATTAATATTTTTTGAACGTTTTTTTAAATATTGTAATAGTAAGGCCCATGCCAGCATTCATCTTACCAAACTCATGTCAGTGTGCGCCTTACAAAGCTTATGTCAGCGTGCGTTTTTCACCAACGATTTAACGGCATCCATCCTTTCATCCAAATGTTGTCCTTATGGTTTGATCCTAAATTTTTATTATCTTTTTAAAAAATTGCTTAATTTTTTTTCCCTTCTCGCTCCGGAATTTCTATTATATAGAAATATGAAGAGAGGACGACCAACGGCAATTTTGTCAATTTACTAAAAATCTCAGCTTAGAGCAGTTGTACATAATGCAGTGGTAGTTCTTGAATTTCCCAAAAAACCAGGCAACTTACTAGAAGAATCTGTCACATCTAACAAGTGGGACCCATCTCTTGTAAAAGTAGAGCACATTCAAGACCATTCTCTTTTCTTTTTTTTTATCTTTCCTAAAATTAGAATAAAGTCTAATCTAATTGATGTATTTTGCTAAAAAAAAATTAATATGGCAAAAAACAAATTAGTATTAAATTAAATTAAATAATAAATAAAAATAATTTAATTGAATAAAAGTTTTTAAAGATTGTAAAAAAAATCAGTATGATAAATAAAATGTACAAATGAAGTAATAAAGTAAACTAAGAATGCTCACTAAATTTTGAAATAATAATTCTTCAAGTATAATTTTAAAATCCTCCTAATTAAAATTGAAAAAAAATATATTCTTTGAATCTCATTTTACAATAGAATGTTTTTCTCTTTAAGATTAATCAAATAAAAATTTAATTATTATAGTATATGACCTATTTTGTTTTTCAAGTTATCTATTAACACTTAATATTATTATTCTTTTGTCTCTAATAAGAATCAAAAAATACAAATTAATACATTATTCATGTTTTTGATCATATAACTTATTGGTGATCAGAAAGATAAATTAATTGAAGTTAATTAAAATCTAGGAAAAAATTGACAATAAAAATGCATAATTATAATACGGAAAATTGCATAATTTGAAACTATATGCAATCTTTTCATTAAATTAATACAAATAATAAAACAATACATATTATATTATAACTATATATTCATTTTACCAAGAAAAATAAATAAATATTGTACCATGGTAAAAAAATTCTATTATCCATTAAGATAAACTATCCATAGAACTTCTTATAATTTAATATTAGGAAAAGTTTTACCAACGACTTTTTTCACTTAAATAAAATATTGAGAAACAAGAATTAAACCACCCCAAATAAGGGTATTCGTGAGAATGATCTACATTAAAATTGATTAATATTTTGAAAAAAGTAAACAAATAGACCTTAAACTAAATTAATTTTCTAAAAATGGCCAACCCAAACTAATTCCCTAAATGGTCAATCAGATGTGCCCCTTTTGCTTTGAAGTTAACTTTTGTTAATATTTTTAAATCCTTTTTATTTGAGGTAAAATATTCATTCATCAGCTATATAAATTACTTTAGAAAAATTTATTTGTTTACTACACTAAATTGTTATTCTAATTTTAATAAACATAAAGACAAGACATAAAGTCAAAACTCTTTTTTCATCCTTTATCACTTTGTAAAAAATGAGATAATTCATTTTAATTTTCATCAAGTAGGTTATTATTTTTATTTGTTAAACACCTATAAAACAAAATTTAAGTATATTCAAAATTAATCTATAGATGGATCATTAGACTTTATTGCTTCATATAGTTTATGAAAACTGTTAATATATTGACACTCATAATTTTTTATCTTTTCTCTTGAATAATTTTTATATAAAATAGAAAAAGAATATCATTAATTTAATTATTTAATTCGAATATATATGTTTGACATGATATTAAAAAATCACTGAATCATGTGATATTTTATTGTTCTTTTCTATCATATTTATTTGAAAATATCATAATAATTTTTTTTCCCCAAAAACTAATTAAATTTCTATTGTAAATATATATAAAATTGTAATAGTGGGCCGGGGGCCTTTCATTATCTAGTCCTTTATATAGAAATTAGAAAGGAGGCTACCTTGCGGGTCCCCTACCATGTTGAGTACATTGGTGACAAGACCAGTGAAATGGACAATCCTTTTCCTTCTGGTGTACGGCAACCTAGATACGCCAAAAAAGATTCAGCATTATTTTATTATATCATTTAATGCACCCATTTGACACCTGGTAGGTTAGCTATTTTGGATAGGAACGATATTAGACCTCTTCAATCCACTTCTATTTTACTCTCTATTTTTTATATTTGGAAAGTAAAATAGAGAATGAACTCTCCAATTATTCTCTAAATGACTCTCTATTTTTCATTTATAGAGAGGTGAATAGTAGTTCTCTAAATTTGGAGAATTACTATTCACATTTTTTATTTCACTTTTTCATTATTTTATTATTATTTCTATTATTTTTTAATTAATATATTATTTTACGTATAAGACCATTAATTATATCACTAATATTAGTAATTTATTTTAAATGTAATATAATATTTAAAAATATATATTATTTAATATATACTACTTTTATTCCGAATTAATGTTTCAACTTTTTTAATTTTCGTCACTTTAATATAGTTTGATATCATTATTAATTTTCACTATGAAGAATGCACAAAATTAAATGATAAGATGAAAATTTTAATTTAAAAATACAATACATAACATAATAATTTAAATACAAGATAACAATACATAATAATTTTATCACAATAATAATTTAGTAATTCGGTAGGTCGTTTTCATATTTAACAATATTCAGAAAAAAATAGTGTATGATCTACATAATTAGTGTAGTTGTGATTGCGGTGATGCTTGTTGATTTCTTTTTTCAATTATTCATAGTTGTTCTTGTTGCATGAAAAATCTCCAATTTGAACAATCTTTAGCTAGACATAAATAATTAAGGATAAAAATGTTTAATTTTGAACTCCGTAATGCATTAATAGAGCATTTTATGGGAGCAATGTAATAATCTTGAAAGTAGAGTTATTTATGTAATTATATTTCATTAATAATTTCACTTTTATTTGAATTGGCCATTAATTTGTATATTATATAATATTAGCTTGCAATTTATGTTATTTAGAAATTTAGGGGGAAAATATAATTTTATAAAAAAATAAGATTGAAATAGAAATAATAATATAATATTGAGGAGAGAGAAGAAGATTCTTTTTTAAAGTATAAAATAGAGAATTAGATTTGAATTAATTATCTAAAAAAATAAAAAAAATTATATTTGAAGAGTAAAATAGAGATTAGGGTTTGGAGATGCCCATACTCTTACGAAACAGGTCAATTGTCTTGATGCCCTACTTGGACAACTTGTTGCACTGACCAAATTTGTCATTTCTGACACAGGATTAAACTCAGCCTCTCATCATACTTACTTCACAGGATAAGAAGTATACTGGATAAGTTGAACACCTCTTAAATTCGTCAATAAATTTAATTTAGATGCTTGAATATAATATCAATTACGCACTTGAATATATATGCTAATTTTTTTTAATTAAGTAGCAATATTAATGATGCTTATTAATTGTTAATGATAGCAATATTATTAACTTTACAAAACGCAACAACACTAATTTTGCAAAACGTATAAAATTCAACTAATCTTTGTATTATGTTGTATGCCATACGTATATCATGCATCTGCTTGAAATACACCTGACATACGAGACATATATGACATATATATACACAAAGATACATAGTTATATACATATTGATATGTTCTTATATATATGGCACATGTGCGTAATTGTAGGGACACTGAAGCATATAGGACAACATACATCTAACATACACCACACCTACAATGAGATACAATATACATCCACACCGTATATATATTTGTAAGGCAATGACTCCATTGCCTCCAAGAACCAATATATTCCAAGAAACTAAAGAGAATAATGGATTACATTAACATTTTGCTAGGACTGTTATTCGTCTGGATTTTGGTGCGTGGAGTATTCATTTCACTTAGAAGAGCCAAAAGAGTTGCACCAGGTCCCTTCCCTTTGCCAATCATCGGAAATCTTCACTTGCTTGGTGATAAACCCCACATATCACTTACCCAACTGGCAAAAAAATATGGCCCAATTATGAATCTGAAATTGGGACAAATAAACACAGTGGTCATTTCGTCGTCCGTCTTGGCAAAAGAAGTGATGCAAAAGCAAGATTTAGCCTTTTCCAATAGGTTTGGTATTGACGCTATTCGTGCCTGCAATCACAATGATTTCTCAGTTATATGGTTACCTGTCAACAACTCTCAGTGGAGAACGCTTCGGAAGATTATGAACTCTCACATCTTCTCAGGTAAATATGCAATTGAGTTAAATTTGAGCGGGATAAAATGAGTCCTGGCCCAATTTGTTTACACTAAAGATTAGAGTAGATTGATTTTTTATTCCCTTTATTATATTCACAGGAAACAAGCTAGACGCTAACGAGCACCTGAGGACAAAAAAGATCCAAGAGTTGATTGATTACTGTCACAAAAGTAGCAAAGTTGGTGAAGCAGTGGATATCGGCAGGGCAGCTTTTAGAACTTCCTTAAATTTGTTGTCCAACACCATTTTCTCTAAAGATTTGACTGATCCATTTTCCGATTCTGCTAAGGAATTTAAAGAATTGGTGTGGAAGATCATGGTTGAAGTTGGTAAACCCAATTTGGTGGACTATTTCCCCTTTCTTAAAAAGATTGATCCACAAGGTATAAGACGACGCTCAACTGATTATTTTACTAAAATTCTTCACCTTATGAGTGATTTGATCGATGAGCGGCTAAAGGAAAGGGAATTGGGAAATCGTGAAAATGTTGATGTGTTAGATGCCCTTCTCGACATTAGCCCTGGTGAAATTGACAGAAATCAAATCGAGCAACTGTGTTTGGTTAGTTTATTCTCTACTCCTACTTCTCCTATTTAAATAAACTTTATGTTCATTTGTTTTATTTTATTTGTTTCTCTACGTTGCATAGTATACTCCACTGCAAAGTATAGTCCTACGCAAATGGTTGCCATAAATTACTGATGAGTTAAGTTATCTTGAATGATGTGATTACCTTTCTCTGAAAGTTGTGACGGGTAGAGGGAACATTTTATCAAATATTTTCTTGGTTTGAATTTAGTTATCTTACTTTTCCTTTTAGTTTATAGATTAAAAAAAATGATTTTCATACCTATTTAATTATAAATTTTCACATAACATGTTTAAGACTATAAGATTCAATTAATGACATTTTGGTACATTCTACGTATTTTCAATTTAAGATCACAAAATTTAAAAATCTTTGTTATTTTCTTAAATTCGGTGGCAAATCAAAATCGAAGGGGAGTATTTATTAATTGTATGTTCCAACAAGTTGTTTGTTTGGTAGCTTGGTTAAATGCTTGTGGCAATAATGCCATGCCTTATCAACAGTATTCGGTCCCCTTTTCTTCCTTGACAACATTTCAGTTTGCCTAATTGAAAGCAACATATGTTTGGAATCTCACTTGATTTTATATGGTATATTCTATAGGATCTTAAACCAGTAAGTTTTGCAGGACCTGTTTGCAGCAGGGACCGATACGACGTCAAATACATTGGAGTGGGCTATGGCTGAACTACTCAAGAATCCACATACTTTCGAGAAAGCACAAGAAGAACTGGCACAAGTAATTGGCAGAGGCAAACTAATAGATGAAGCTGATGTTGCAAAATTACCTTACTTGAGGTGCATCGTAAAAGAAACCTTTCGAATACACCCACAAGTTCCTTTCCTAATTCCGCGCAAAGTTGAGGAAGATGTTGATCTTTATGGCTATACTATTCCAAAAGACTCGCAGGTTCTTGTGAATGTATGGGCAATAGGGCGCGACTCTAGTCTATGGGAAGACCCTTTGGACTTTAAGCCGGAGAGGTTTTGGGAGTCAAATATAGATGTTAGAGGTCAGGATTTTGAGCTAATTCCATTTGGTGCTGGTCGAAGAATTTGCCCTGGATTGCCTTTGGCTATCAGGATGATTCCAATTGCGCTAGGTTCATTGATAAATACCTTTAATTGGAAGCTAGATGGTGGAATTGCACCTAAAGATTTGGACATGGAGGAAAAATTTGGTATTACCCTGGCAAAAGCTCAACCTCTGCTAGCTATCCCTATTCCACTGTAGATGTTGGTAGATCAAGAATTAATACTACAATATCATATTAATATATGTAAAAATATTCTAGTGTATAATATTTCTATAAGCGTTGGATTCATTTGGATGTCTGTCGAGCACTGTCAAAATGCTATATAAGTCATTGTATTTGTAGATCTATTTATACTTGTGTATCCTTGAAATAAGACCATGTCACCACCAAGGATTATGTATTTCTTTCTTGGTTTTCAGTAATGACAATATATTATTTGGATTAACTATTTTTGCCAAGAACAGAGGAATAGTTCTTAAATTATAAAATTAGAAATTTAGCATAAGAAAGTAGTCACTCATCCTAATTAGAACCTTCTAAAATGCATTGTTGAAACTACACACACTGCAACAACACATCTTTTAGTTGCAATAGATTTTCAGGCATAAAACATAAACGGGATTTTTAACTTGGCCTCAATTGATTATGTTCTCCAATTTTGGGTGTGCAAACATAGACACTTTAACTTGTATAAAATTGACAAATAAACACATATCCTATGTGCACGTGGTGTCCTACATGAAGTTCTATGTGTATTGTGTCATGTAAGATGTATGTGTCTACTTATTGAATTTTATACAAATTTAAATGTTTACTTGTGTATACTCAAAGTTGGAGGGTATAAATGTCAGCTGAGGTCAAATTAAAGGGAGTATATGTATTATGCCTAAATTTTTCTTGGCCAAACACATATGCAGACCCTTAAACTTGTCCCTAAATTTCATTTTGGCACTCCAACTCAACCTTGTTCCATTTTAACCCTTCAACTCCAACTCAACCTTGTTCCATTTTTACCTACATTCATTGTTTTTTCTCTTTTATTCTTCTATTGATTTTATTTTCTTTGTCTTCATTTTGATTTGATTTCAAATGTCTTATATTTAAAATAAGTTAATTTTGAACGGATATCAAAATAAGTGAAGAAAATCAAATAAAACATAAAAAAATTAAAACGTTAAAATTTAAGGACACTTTTAAATTATTATTTTTTTAAAAATACACATTATTTTTTTAAAAATAATTAAAAGTGAAAAGATAATAAATTAATTAGAAAAAAGTTTAAAGTGAAAAGAAATTAAAATAAATATTTTATAAGAAAGAAATAAAATTAATTAAATATATATATAAGTTTTATTGTCAATAAATATGTGTACTAACTAATTATAAAATTACCAATAAAAAAATGACATGTGTCCAATTTGCGCACTCATCACTTGCCTTCAAGAGAGTGTGCACACTCTCTATGCCATGTCAACGTTTGTGGTGTATTTATTCCATTTTTAATTAGTTTAGGGGGGTAATAGGACCCTAGTTAAGTTTAGGTGTGTCTATGCAATTTCGGTCATAGTCTAGGGGTACTTATGCATTTTCCCTTTCTATATATGTTATTCAACTGCAATTTTGCATTTTAAAAATCGGCGTGCATCCGTTAGTTATTGTAAAAAATTAGAATTGATGATGATCATTGATTTTTTTTTTTTTATAAAAGAAAGTAACAATTTCTTTTTAAGAGTTTTCCTATATTTTTGCGTGAAAAATAACCGATGAAAGTGCGTCAATTTTCATTCTTAAGAAAATCAATGACAACCCAACGAAGTCTATCGAGTTTCAACATTTTTTTGTAGTGTTATTAATTAGCAATGAACATGAATTTTTTTTACTCGTATTTAGTTGAATGAAAAATTAGAAAGCTGATATTTGAGTTAGTCCAAATAGACTAGATATGAAAAAATGAATATGTGGTGTTATTTAATTTAATTAATTATTTTTAAAAAGAAAATCAACAAACTTTCGTCGATTATTTTTTCACACAATAATGTACAGAAACTCTAAAAAATATTTTTAAAAAAATGATGTTCATCCATTATTATTAAAAAAAAAATTAAAAAAAGATATGACGTTGATTTTTAAAATGAAAAAGTGGAAATGAAGAACATAAATAAAAATAAAGAAATCATAAATTTAGTATTTTGTGTTTAAATGATACTATATAAAATTGAGTTGAAGTATTAAAATGGAACAAGACTAAGTTAGCATGACAAAATGAAAAATGGGGGCAAGTTAGAGGAGTTGTGTATGTGTTTTTAATTGGTTTTTGTGTCATGTCATGGCATGTGAAGTACACACATCCCACTTTGTTGATTCTTTGGAAAGAAGTGCCAAAATGGAACATAAAAATTGGAGTTGAAGGATTAAAATGGAACAAAGTTGAATTGGAGTGCCAAAATGAAATTTAGGGACAAGTTTAAGGGTCTGCATATGTGTTTGGCCATTTTTCTTTTAGTTGTAATATTTATTGCCACATAATTATTTAGCGGTAATTGAATTAATACGGAAGAAGCAAAGTAAATGGCATCATGTAGTGTCCTATGACATGTGAACACTTAGTGGTGCCGTTGTTATAGGTAGCATGGTGTCACGACCTTCGACTTCTACTAAGCACACTGTGCGGGACTTGATAACTCGCTCACGAATCTTTCACGATCTTGCAAGCTCTTAAGCCTTTTTGACACTAAATCGCTAAGGAAATGAAGAAAGACACAAGAGAATTTCCTCTCCTTTCCTCTGCCTCTATCATGCTTGTCATACTTAAAGTCTGTCAAAGCTTCGGCCTGCGTGATGGCTTCATCAATAATCCTAACATGTCGGCGTTCCAACTCCATCTTGGTCCAATTTTGTAGTCCATCCATGAAGTGGAACAACATATCTTCATCTATGAGGTTGGAAATTTGAAGTGTGAGGATGATAAACTCCTTCACATATGTTAGTATGCTTCCCGCCTGCTTCAACTCCCAAAATGTGTGTTTCGCCTCATAGATGAGGTTGTTGGGAAAGAAGGTCTTCTTGAACTCGACTCAAGACTTGGAAGAATTGCTTGCTTTTGCTTGTTGAATTTACAAATGACTATCCCTCTATTTATACTTCTAACTTAGAGGTTAATATGTAAATAGTAATTGTTATGTAAGTCCTACATATTTACATAATAAGCTCTTATTCTAGATTCTCTACATAATTAGAAGATTCCAAGGACTTTCATGCAAATCCATGGAATTTTAGGATATACTATGGAAATTCTCCACATGTCTCTAGAACCTTCCATTGTGGGCTAGCATTCTTCCCATGTAAGGCCTCCACATGGGCAAACTTGTGCCATGTGGCACTTATATGGCGTGATAACGTGGCGGGTCATCACAATGGGTCTTATGAACTCTATAACTCTCCCAACACATTGCACAAACAGCGGCAGCATGGAGGAAAGTAAAGTAATACTCAAATGACTAAATTGCCTTTGTCTGGAAAATATGCATATATGTGATGCATGCTTCCTAGACTTATATATAGTGGAAGTTTGATTAAAATAGAAAACAATTATTTTCGTAAACATGTATATATTTCGAAAATTATAGATGAATACAAATTACTACTTAATAAGATATACCGACTATTAGTGATAACTTTCTTACACAGTAGAATTTATAATTTTATCAATGATAATATTTTTTTGTATTTAATTTTTTTTTAAAAGCAAATTTACCACTAGACAGTGTCTAGCGGTCTTTTATTAAACATAAAAAATATCAATAGGGACAAGTACAAGCAAGGGGGGCTAGACCTTACCTTACTAATCCTAATGAAGTACCTAACTTCTGCTACATAACAAGTATGAAGAAAATAAGAGCTAGAGAGAACTAAGTATTTTTTTATCATCACAGAGTTTGTAATTGATGATATTACAAATGAGGATGCTTAAATAATGTAAAAATATGTCAATCAAGAAGAAAAGTTTGAGTTACCAGCCTCAAACTTTCTATTACAAAAGCATGAATTAAAAAAGATTGATTGTCCATCAAAAGTAACTTGAAGTATTTTTCTCGTCTTCTTCTTTCAAAACTTATCCAACAACACTTGATGATTCATACCTTCTTTATGGATTTATTGGATCTAGTTGAACCTATTGATACTGTCAAATGGTTTTGCTTTGCTTGTCGCATAGGTAGGTTCCTTGGAACAAACTCCTCCGTTATTTTACCGTCCCAACTATGTTGCCTTCCATGTGTCTTCTTTTTGCTTTTGTTGCTTCCACTTCTTTGTTGCCTAGGTGATATATCCCCTTCCCTAGCCACTCTATCAATAGCATATTGTATTTAAATTTCTTATTTTGATTTTAGTTTATTTATATTTATTTTCATAATATAAGAGGGATGTAAGTATTTAATTTTGAAATTAAGTATATCTAAACTTAAATTCTATTGAAGAGGTTGTTAAATGTAGGACAAACTATAACTTTCGTCGTATACTTGTATAAAGACAAAAGTAAAAAAATTCATAGCAAAGTACACGAGAAATAACACATGAGGCTCCCTATATAAAGCTATGGCTCCATTGCATCCCAAGACCTCACAAGAAAAATGGACTATATGAACATTTGTCTAGGATTCTTCTTCATCTGTTTTTTGGTGCGTGGAGTATTGATTTTTTCACTTAGAAGAAGCAAAAGAGTTGCACCAGGTCCATTCCCTTTGCCTATCATCGGTAATCTTCACTTGCTTGGTCATAAACCCCACATATCACTTGCTCAACTCGCAAAAAAACATGGTCCAATTATGAATCTGAAATTGGGGCAAATAAACACAGTCGTCATTTCCTCATCCGCCTTGGCAAAACAAGTCTTGCAAAAGCAAGATTTAGCCTTTTCCAATAGATTTGTTCCAGACGCCCTTCGTGCCTGCAATCACTCTGGTTTATCTGTTGTATGGCTATCTGTCAACAACTCACAGTGGAGAACGCTTCGCAAGGTTATGAACTCTCACATCTTCTCAGGTAAAGAATGCAAAATTGGAAGTTGAATTAAATTTTAGTCATACTCGTGGCCAAATTTTACTTTATTCCCTTTATATATTCTTAGGTAACAAGCTTGACGCTAATGAGCATGTCAGAACAAAAAAGATTCAGGACCTGATTAATTACTGTCACAACTGTAGCAAAGTTGGTGAAGCAGTAGATATGGGCAGAGCATCTTTCAGGACTTCACTGAATTTGATTTCCAACACCATTTTCTCTAAAGATTTGACTGATCCATTTTCCGATTCTGCTAAGGAATTTAAGGAATTGGTGTGGAACATCATGGTTGAGGTTGGTAAACCCAATTTGGTGGACTATTTCCCCTTACTTAAGAGGATTGATCCACAAGGTATAAGGCGGCGCTTGACTGAATATTTTAGTAAGGTTCTTCACCTTATTAGTGGTTTGATCGATGAGCGGATAAAGGAAAGGAAAATGGGAAATCGGGCAAATGTTGATGTGTTGGATGCCCTTCTCAACATTAGCCCTGATGAAATCGACAGGAATCATATCGAGCATCTGTGTCTGGTTAATTTATTCTCCACTCCTCTTTTTTCAATTCTAATTGAAAGCAACACGTCATAGGATCTTAAACCATTAAGTTTTGCAGGAAATGTTTGCAGCAGGGACCGATACAATATCAAATACATTGGAGTGGGCAATGGCTGAACTACTCAAGAATCAACATACATTGGAGAAAGCACAAAAAGAACTTGAACAAATAATTGGCAGAGGCAAACTAATAGATGAAGCTGATGTTGCAAAATTACCTTACTTGAGGTGCATCGTCAAAGAAACCTTTCGCATACACCCACAAGTTCCTTTCTTAATTCAGCGCAAAACAGAGGAAGATGTTGATTTTTGTGGCTATACTATTCCAAAAGACTCCCAGGTTCTTGTGAACGTATGGGCAATAGGGCGCGACTCTAGTCTATGGGAAGACCCTTTGGACTTTAAGCCGGAGAGGTTTTGGGAGTCAGAAATAGACTTTAGAGGTCGGGATTTTGAGCTGATTCCATTTGGTGCTGGTAGAAGAATTTGCCCTGGATTGCCTTTGGCTATCAGGATGGTTCCAGTAGCACTAGGTTCATTGCTAAATACATTTAATTGGAAGCTACATGGTGGAATTGCACCTAAAGATTTGGACATGGAGGAGAGTTTTGGTATTACCTTGGCAAAAACTCAACCTCTGCTAGCTATCCCTATTCCGGTGTAACTGTTGGGATAAACTTAAGAACCTATGTAGTTGCTAAATAAGCAGGTGGTTTGCCATGAAAAATCAAATATTGTTCATTTTGTTTGAATTTTCAATGTAGAAGTTGTGTTTGATCATACTTGTTGCAAAAATTATTTAGAATTTGAATTATTTTTTTCTAAACTTGATTTATACTCTCCAATCTCTAAAAACTAGTAAAATTTGACTAATCTGTCTAAAACATACAATAAAATCTGCTCTAAAAAGAGTAATATTTTGATATAGAATTAGATCTCATATACAAGATACTACATACTATCATCTAATATTGACATCTCCTCGACTCCTTTACACAGTTTATTCTCTGCTTGATTTCCTTCTTTATTTGGGATATGACGAAACTTGTATTTACATGTATACTCCTCGATTCCCCATATAGCAACTGTTGTCTCCTTTTTAAACTGCCTCCAATGTCTCCTCTTAAGCTATTTCAGGCTACAACAATCCACCAAACTACAGCAAACACATAGTTGAAATCCTCCAACCCACACATCATCAAATTCAACCCGAAATTACTTCAAAATTGAATGAAAAAGTCACACAAATCATAAGTTATAGAATTCTACTTCACAGTTTGCATATAATCACAAAATACATATCAAATTCCTTTAATACGTGTTCAGAATGTTCTAAATCATTTTCAACATTCAATCTTTACTTTCCAAACAAGATTAAAAAGATTCAAATAATACATATATAAAACATTTTAGGGAAACAGATCTAAAATATATCCGAACTTTGACCGAAATTGTTGTAACAATACCGAACTTTGGAAATAACCTTTTACCCCATGCACTATTTAATAGTGTATTTTAAAGGTATATATGTGCCCACGTGGACATCATAAATATTGCATCATTATAAATAGTAACGTGTCCATGTGGGCACATAATATATATCTTTAAAATACACTATTAAATAGTGCAGGGATAAAAGGTCCTCCATAAAGTTTGGTATCGTAACAACAATTTAAGCCAAAGTTAGAGTATTTTTCAGATCCTTTTCCCAACATTTTACGGGTACATGCATTTTTTCATTTTTTTTTGACATTACGAGTTTATAGTTTGCTAAATGTATCTACCAAGTTCTATAATTAAAAAGATTAGCATCTGTACTTATATTTATATATATATATATATATATATATATATATTTCAGAAGTTTATTTGGGAATAGTTAATATAATCAATGTTTAGTCATTTTAAAAAGTGATTTGACAATAATTAAGAGGGGTAAAAATGGAAAGTATTGTCTAATTGATGTCTTAATATTCTTTTCTTAAATGGTGTCAATAATCCAACAATTCACTTATTTTGAAATAGGGAAAGTATAATATAGCAGTTGGCCTAATTCAAATTATTATCAACATTAGAAATTATTCCCTCGTGATGAAAAAATTCTTGGTAGAGAGCAGGGGAGGATCTAGGATTTGGAGGTCGTGGGTGCCACAACATTCAAGTAAGATAAAATGATCGGTTGCTTTAATTTTGGGTTACAATTCGGGTTACTGATTATTATTTTTTTATAAACAAATCGATCAAATATGCATGTTAGTAATATTTTCTTTTAGATATTCTGAGATTAGAGATAACTAAACAATTCTAATTTTTTTTCCTTTTTGGAATTAGATGTCTTATTCGCTGAAACTTTTGAGAAAAAAAAAGATTTTTTCAACATTAAAATTTTGAGCTTGTATAAACCATCTAATAGTATTAACATAATATATTCATATTACATTGACTTTATGTGTTGTTGGAGATATATAGTAGGGAAAGAATAAAAATTGTAGTTTCAGCCTAGTCATCTTACTTAGCAAGAACGTCGGTGAAGATTGAAAGAACCTTTATTTGAAGAAAAAAAAACTCTAATAATAATAATCATCATTTTTAAAACATATTTTAAAAACTACTATTTGAATATATTCTTAATAATATTTATTTGACGTTCATAATTTAGTACTCATTAATTGATAAAAATAAACATGTAACACCCATATCAAGAGATTAATAATTAGTGCAAGAGAAAGTAAAAAAAATAAAATTAAAAATTAATCATGAAAAAGAGTCAATTTGAATTAATAAAGAATAGTAAATAAATAAGAATGAATGGAGAAAAAAATTAAGCCCTTTACATACTGATGAAAAAGACAAAAAAGAAAAGAAAAGAAGAACTAAAAATTAATCATGAAAAAGAGTCAATTTGAATTAATAAAGAATAGTAAATAAATAAGAATGAATGGAGAAAAAAAATTAAGCACCTTTACATACTAATGAAAAAGACAAAAAAGAAAAGTAAAGAAGAAAAGGAGCAAGCAAAAAATTAAGTGTTGGCAGTGAGGTTCGAACACGCGTTGGCTGTGTGGCAGACCAACTCCTTCGCCAATTGAGCTGTTCTGCATTTCAGTCAGTGGGTGGCAAAAGTAATATATATTGAATTATTATGCATATATACATATATAAACGACGTTTTTTTCGAGATCACTGGGTGCCATGGCACCCCCACCTGTCCACATAGATCCGCCCCTGGTATTAACCATGCATTTAGATATAATACATTATAACAATCGTGATGGTTAAAAGTCTAAGTGGGAGATTGTTGGGATATAGTGTTTCCCCTTGAGTAGGGCCTCACATAGCGTAAATTCGAATTAATCGAATTCCAATATAAATACGAGACATCGGATAAAAAAAACAAAATAAATTACTATCAATGTTTTCGAGTAGGCCGTAGGAGAAATGGGCCATAGCTAACATTTATGATTTGTTGTACACAATTTTGGTCTATAGCTCTACCTCATGGATCATCTTTCTTCCACGCAAGAAGCTTAAATGGTACTCCCGTTCATGATTTGTACTTGTCAATTATATTAAAAATATAAAAGAAATAAATGTACCCCCGCCGTCCTAACTCCTATAGTAGTTGATCGCTTTTTTTTTGTACCGTTCTTAAGAAATTATAAATAAGAAGATAATTTTTCTAAGTGCTTATTTGGATTGACTAAAACATAGCTTTTAAGTCAAGAAAATAAAAAAGTTAAACTTAAATAACTTTTAAATCAAAAAATAAAAAGAAGAGGGAGTCCTGCTTTTGGTTTTTAATTTTTTTAAGTCATTTTAAACTTATTTTTAATTTTGTCAAACACTCTCATAAGTCAAAAATGACTTAAAAGTATATTTGACCAAATTTTAAGCCAATCCAAATAGACACTAATTCACTCCTTAAAAACCTTCTTGGAAATTTAATAAACAAATGTGAACATTTTCAAAAAGAATTATTGAAAGGGTAATATAGAAAAAAAATTAATTAATGTGTTCTTGATTTAGTAAGGTGATCAACTACTATGAGATAACTATAGTATAATAATCAACTAATATGGGACAGAAGGGATATATTTTTAAGGAAAAAAGGACAAATATACCCCCAAACTACTATCGTAAATGGTATACAAATAGTCTCTGTCGTACTTTTCGGACATTGGTACCCATTCCGTCCAAAAATCAGAGCATATTTTCCCTTCACTCTAACGGAAGAATAATTAGAGACACGTGGCGCAATTCTGTAACACCTCGCTATTTGAAAGAACTAGAAAGAACTAGAATTTGGATGAAACCAATTTTGGAAATAATCAAATTTGGAAAGTTTGACAAAATTAAGCTAAGGATGAGTTTTGGGTCAACTTTAAACGACCATAACTCCTAGATCAGGATTATTTAGGTGTACTACCAGATACCGTAGGAAAGATCTTTGAATTATCTTTCCAACGCCGCCAAATTTGATCGATTTCAAGTTCGTATGAGGAAGATATGACCATTTAAAGTTGAGCTGTCTAGATAAGGAAAGTCAAAACCGGATTTTAGAAGGGTATTATGGTCGTTTCACTACCCAATTAATTAAATTTGTTTTTGGTAATTAAGTTGGGGTCTAAACTGATTGGATTCAGTTTACGCTTTACAAAATTAACTTAGGGTTTTGAGAGAAGAGAAAAGAAGAGGAGAAAGGAGCAGAAGAAGCAAGGATTCATCATGTTCTTGAAGTTAAGCTCATCGATTTCGCCAAGGGTTGATCCCTACGAGGTATGTGAGATCACATAGCCTTGGGTTAGTTCACCCACGGCCAATCATGATTCAATTTCATGAATTTGTGTTCTTGAGAGTATAGAAACTGAGTTCTTGATGGATGTTGTTGAAGTTTCTATTGGGTTCTTGATTGTTGAAGTTGTTGAGAAGTTCTTGAGTTAAATTCATGAAATTTGATGTTGTTTTGAGTTGGTTCTTGCATATTTTGGTTATGTATTCGAATCTAAACATTTGGGGAAGGAGCCATTCGAATCTAGAGAGTTTAGAGTTGAAAAACGAGCACGAAAATTTGTCAAAAACCTGGGGAAGGGGGAAGGGCGCCGCGCCACTCAGAGCGCCCCAAAGAAACTTCTGTAGTTTTGGCTTTGGGGCGCAGCGCTAGCCAGTGCGCCCCAACCCAACTTCTGAAGTTTGGCCTCTGGCTCCCCGCGCCACTCAGAGCGCCAGGGACGCCGGGTCTTCTACCCTTTCCCACTTCTTTCCGTTCGAGTTTCCTTGAATCATACCTATGTTTCCTAGTTGATTTCTACACTCTAAGGTCTGTCTAAACATCATGATATCATCTATAACACGAGATCATGACCCTTGAATCCATAAATCAAATTCAAGGTAGAGCTGAGAGTCCAGCCAAGAAAGTTCTTAAAGTCTTTCAAAAGTCTTATGCAATCGTTTTAAACTTGTTTTTAAAGATTTAAGCCTTGAGTTTGAGAAAGAGTAGAGCCAAGTTCATTCTTTAAATGATATATGGGAACTAAGTAATCCCAAAGAACAAATGTTTTTCACATTTAAGATAAGAGGAAACACCGATTTCCAAATGAGTTTTCATGAGTAGTTTTGAGTTCCATCTCTTTTAAGAGATAATCTTTTTGCGTAATTACCTCAAATTACAGAAAGAGTTTTGTTTTGAAACATATGAGCTGAGTATATTTTGGGAGTAGTATTGAGTACGTACGAGTTCATAATGTCTCAAGTCTCCATAAACTATGTAGCCACCGTGGGTAGAAAGGGTCATACTTTTTAGATGATTCCTTAGTGATTTTTTAGCATAGACTAGTGGATCCACTTAGTTGAGACGTTCTATATCCCGGCAAGTTATAGGACAGTTTTGACAGTGTGGGCGAGACGTTGTATCATCACATAGCTCATAGTGATGGTTGTCGGTTAGAGAAACTCCCATAGAGTTATATTACTTTATTATATATGTATATTGAGTTGTTTCTTACTGTTTTAAATGCTTTATATAAACTGCACCTTTATTGTCGTTTAATTCTGCATTTGAGTTGAGTATCTATGAGTTGAGTAAAGTTGAGGTAAGTGTTCTTTCAGAATTCATTTCAAGCTTATGTCATGTTTAGTTTTCCCTCGCATGGTCGTACATTCAATGTACTGATGCCATTTGACCTGCATCATTTTATGATGCAGATATAGGTAACCAGGATCATCATCCAGCTCCCCGTTGATCCAGTTGAGCACTCAGAGTTAGTTAGTGAGCTTCATTGCTTTCCGGAGGATCCCTTTTTCATTGTTTTAGTATTTCAGTTGTTAGGATGATCGGAGGTCTTGTCCTGACATCTCTCATTGTTTTTAGAGGTTTTATAGATGGATAGTTATAGTTCTCTAGTCTTTCCATTTTCAGTTGATTTAAGTGCATTTGATTTCTTTATTAATGCGTAAGGTCTTCCGCTGAGAGTCTATCAAGGCAAAGCGTTCGCTTGGAGACAACAATTGTTCTCGAGTACCAATCCCGCCCAGGGTGTAGGCTCGGGGCGTGACAAATCACTCAACCCAGTTTGATCATATAACTAACCCAAAATTTAAATACCCGTCCAGCAACCTGTTTAACCCACCCGATACACCCATTACTCACACTAATACTAACTTATCCAAAAACCTAAAAAGATCTTTCTTTTTAGGGTTTCGAGCTTGTTGTGAAACCCGCTATCGTCGTGAAGCTAAAGAAGGCACCGGCAACAAAGGAAAAATCCACCTCCTCCTCCACCGTCGTTGCTGCCACAAAGCCGAAAGCAACAACCCTAAAGAAGAAGGTTGTAGTGAAGAAAGCCAAACCTGCAGCAACAACAACAAAACAATGGAAGCAGTAGACGGTTACTGCTCCGGCTAAAGCAAAGAAAACTCTGGTGAAGAAAGCTGCAGTTGCTAAAGTGAAGAAAACTTCGGTTAAGAAAGTTGTGAAGAAGCCGAAAACTATTAAGTCTCCGGCAAAGAAATGAAGAAATTAATCTGAATTGGGTATTTGAATCTGTAAATTACTTTTACATTTCTCTAGTGATGATATCAAATCCACCCTTTTTCTTCTTCCCCTTTCCCTTCCGTTTGTAGTTTTTACTCGTTCTCCATTGTTAGGATTTGTTTGTTTTAGGAGTATGACTTGTGCTCTATTCAATAGATTTGTATGAAGAAATGACTAATTAAGCCAAAATTTTAGGTTTATAGATAGGTTAGTATTAGTGTGAGTAATGGGTGTGTTAAACGGGTCATTGGGTGGGTATTTAAATTTTGGGTTAATTAATTGGTTAAATCGAGTTGAGCCGTATTCTTCCGTTAGAGTGAAGGGCAAATATGCTCTGATTTCTTAATGGAATAGGTATCAATGTCCGAAAAGTATGACATAGGGTATTTGTGTACCATTTACGATAGTTCGGGGATATATTTGTCCTTTTTCCCTATTTTTAATGTTTATTTTTAGCATTAATTACTCATTCTCATCATTTTTAATATTCAAGACTAAAGTCAATTACTCCCTTTGTACCTAATTACTTGTCCACTTTTCTTTTTTTACTTGTTCATTTTGATGAATCAAGAACGAACAATTTTTTTTTTACCTATTATACCCTCAATTTATTAATTTTGAAAAATGTAGAACTTCTTGGAAGTCTTAAATTTTTAATTCATCCACTTCATAATTAATAGAGGTAAACTAATAAACTCACTATGTCAATCATTATTTTCTTAATATGTGTGTCAATTCAAAAGTGGACAAGTATTTAAGGACAGATGGAGGAGTAATATGGATATAATGGAAAAATAGGCACGTCAAATATTATTGTTTGATGTGCAAACAAAGCTTATCTAAAAATGTTTGACTAGTAATCAGGAAGTTTAACGTATGTATTATTAGCCCCCTTTCCTTGAACAAGAGTCTCTCTTCCTTCTTCAAATTTCCAATTCAGTTTTTATGTCTTCAAACAAACACTGAAAACCAATATACTCTCTATTTCATAACAGAAAAATGGAGTACGTTAACATTTTGCTAGGACTGTTATTCGCCTGTTTCTTGGTTCGTGTAGTATTCATTTCACTTAGAAGAAGCAAAAGAGTTGCACCAGGTCCATTCCCTTTGCCTATTATCGGAAATCTTCACTTGCTTGGTGACAAACCTCACATATCACTTACTCAACTAGCAAAAAGATATGGTCCAATTATGAATCTGAAATTGGGGCAAATAAACACTATTGTCATTTCGTCGTCCGTCATGGCAAAACAAGTGATGCAAAAGCAAGATTTAGCCTTTTCCAATAGGTTTGTTCCTGACACACTCCATGCCTGTAATCACTCTAATTACTCTGTTACTTGGATACCTGTCAACAACTCTCAGTGGAAAACAATTCGCAAGATTATGAACACTCACATCTTCTCAGGTAACAAGCTTGACGCTAATAAGCATATTAGAACAAAAAAAATCCAGGAGCTGATTGATTACTGTCACAAGAATGGGGAAAATGGTGGAGCAGTCAACATCGGCGGAGCAACTTTCAGGACTTCCCTGAATCTGCTTTCCAACTCCATTTTCTCTAAAGATTTGACTGACCCATTCTCTAATTCTTCTAAGGATTTTAAGGAATTGGTGTGGAACATCATGGTTGAGGCTGGTAAACCCAATTGGGTCGACTATTTCCCTTTTCTTCAGAAAATTGATCCACAAGGTAGAAGGCGACGCATGACTGATTATTTTACTAAGGTTCTTCACCTTATAAGTGGTTTCATCGATGAGCGGATAAAGGAAAGGGAAATGGGAAATCATGCAAATGTTGATGTGTTAGATGCCCTTCTCAACATTAGCCCTGAGGAAATCGACAGGAATCATATCGAGCATCTCTGTCTGGTAAATTTATTCTCCACTCCTCAATTATCTCTTCATTTTGTTTTTCTCCGGTGCAAAAGGTTGACATGGATTGATGCTCAATTATCTTAAATGATGCAATCACCTCATCTAAAAGTTTTGATGGGTGGAGAAAATAATTTTATAATATTTAATTGTGTATATGTCTCAACAAGTTGTTGTTTGGTAACTTGCTAAAATGTTTGTGGCAATAATGCCACACTTTATCAACAGTGTTTGGTCCCCTTTTATCTAATTGAAAGCAACATATGTTTTGAATCTATTTACTTGATCATATATGACATCTACATCATATGATCTTACACGAGTAAGTTTTGCAGGACTCGTTTGTAGCAGGGACAGATACTTCATCAAATACACTGGAATGGGCAATGGCTGAACTTCTCAAGAATCCACATACTTTGGAGAAAGTACAAGAAGAACTTGCACAAGTAATTGGCAGAGGCAAACTAATAAATGAAGCTGATGTTTCAAAATTACCTTATTTAAAGTGCATCGTGAAAGAAACCTTTCGAATACACCCACAAGTTCCTTTCTTAATTCCCCGTAAAGCAGAGGAAGATGTTGAGTTTTGTGGCTATATTATTCCAAAAGACTCCCAGGTTCTTGTGAACGTATGGGCAATAGGGCGGGACTCTAGTCTATGGGAAGACCCTTTGGACTTTAAGACGGAGAGGTTTTGGGAGTCAGAAATAGATGTTAGAGGTCAGGATTTTGAGCTGATTCCATTTGGTGCTGGTAGAAGAATTTGCCCTGGACTGCCTTTGGCTATCAGGATGATTCTAGTCACGCTCGGTTCATTGGTAAATACATTTAATTGGAAGCTAGATGGTGGAATTGCACCTAAAGATTTAGACATGGAGGAAAAATTTGGTATTACCTTGGCAAAAACTCAACCTCTGCTAGCCATCCCTATTCCGTTGCAGCTGTTGGGATATTAAACTTAAGATTTTATGAAGTAGATTAAGCAGGTGTTTTGCCATGAAAATTAAATATTGTTCATTTTGTTTGGAATTTTTAATGTTGGAAGTTGTGTTTGACCATACTTTTTGCAAACAATATTTAGACTTTGAATTGTTTTTTTTTTTTTTGAATTTATACTCTCCAATTTCATAAAACTAGCAAAATCACTAACTTGACTAATTTATCTGAAACATACTATCAAATTTGTTCCAAAAAAGTAATATTTTTTTAAAAAAATAATCACATAATATCATGAATTAGATCTAATATACAAATACTAACTGCTATTACAAGTATTTTTTTTCACTTTATGTGGAATTTTTTAATATAGTTTTTCTTTTTTATAATAAAGTGTGAATATTACCAAAACCAACAAAATCGAGGAAATACAAATCAAAAGACCACCTAGGAATGCCAGTCATCTTGTAGGAAGGGTATTGTATCCTCCATATCTCTAAGCAGCAAATAAAAAAAACATATAGCAACTATGTATAATGCCCCACTCTTCTTTGTTTCTTTTCTTTTGCGTGTGGAAAGAAGCGAAAGAGGTCCTTGAAATATGCTATTGGAGAAACTTAATTTTTCTTCACATCTTATCAACATTTGACTTCAAGGCAAAAGAAATCAGCCAAGTAAATTGGCACATGAATATTTAATTTTTCCTCTGCATCTTGTCAACCTTTGACTTCATGAAAAAAAATCAGCCAAGTAAATTGGCACATGGATATTCTTACCACATGGGGGTGGACCCCACAACAGAACCATGGAGTTTTTACTTTGCTAAATGTATCTATCAAGTCTTTAATGGCATAACACATAAGTGTGCTATTTAACTTGCCTTAACTGATATATATGTTGAGAATATAATTAAATAATAGAAGTGTGCTCTCTCTAACCACTTAAGCTTTTAAATGAGATGGTCACACACTTCTACATGATATCAGAGCAGGCATAGGTCCTCAACAATATATACCCTCTAACTTTGAGTGTGTGTTGGTAATTTACCTACTTATTCGACTCTTAAGCATGAATCATTGCTATATTTTAATGCTAATTGAAGAGATTTTAGGTCCTTCTTTTATATGCAGGCATTCCTTGAAAATGAGAAGAATGAAGGAGTGAAGCTAAAATTCTACTGATTGAAGTTGGAAACAAACCTGCGTACAGAAGAAGTGCACCTGCGTTTCACAGGTGCAACACACTTACAAAGTGAAGAAACTGAAAACTGCAGGTGTGTTTCGCAGGTGCAAGCGCAAGTTCTACTAATCAAAGCTGGAATAAAGATGTTGATGCTCCTATGTGAAGCAGAAGTGCACCTGCATTCCTGTCACGCCATGAGCCTACACCCTGGATGTGGCTGGCACTCAAGAGTCATTTTTGGTCCCAAGTAAACCCTTGGAATGACTGACTACTTAACGGAAGATTGACTCAAACAGATATAAGCTTTAAAATAGAATTTAAATTAATGGTTTTGAAACTTCTCAACTCAAACTGTCTCAAAATAATATGAAAACAATAATAGTTTGCAAAAACAGTTCGAAAAGGAAATATTGAAAGAATCCTCAGCACTATCTATCTATAAAGCCTCTACAGTTCAACATGAATGTCGAGACGAGACCCACGACACCTCAAAATTACTAAACTGAAAGATAAAGAAATGGAGTCCCCGGAATGCAAGGAGGGCTCACCAAAAGCTATCAAGGAATGCAAAGTGATCTCAACGAAGCGCTTGTTGATGATCCTGAATACCTGTATTTGCATCATAAAAAGATGCAAGTCGAAAGACATTAGTACTTTGAATGTACGAGTATGTAATATAGCCGAAACAACAATATTTGAATTGAAAATGTTAAAACAATACTCAACTGAATGTAAAGCATAAATAGAGATAAGTTCATTTAAAACTTTACAAAATAAAATATGTTAACTCACTGAATTGTATGTATAAGTATAATAAAAAAGAAATTTTTTTACTCTATTAGGATGTTTCTATAACCGACAATCATCACTATGAGTTTCGTGATGATACAACGTCTTCTCCATGCTGCCAGAATTGTCATATACCTTGCCGGGGTATATAACAAACTCAACACATAGATCCACTATAAAGTTCTACTCAAAGGCAGTGAGAAGTCTCCCGAAAGTCAATGCGATCCAACCCACGCTGACTACGTGGTTTATGGGAATGTGAGTTGTCTGAACTCTTTTCCATATAAGTGCTCAATACTACTCCCAAAATATATAACTCAATGCTTAAGTAAAAATAATCTTGCTTGGTTGAGATAAGTTCTCGAAGGGCCTCTTGAAGAGGTATCTGCTCTGTAATAACTTTGTCTGAAAAACTCTTAGACTTTATCTAAAAATTAGTGCTCTCTTTCTCCATGTCAGAATGATACATTTGAAAATCGTTTAGTTCCCTTAAACTCTACTCAAAAATTGTAATTTAAATTTTACTCTTGAACTCGCTTTTAACTTATCAAAATCAATTTAAGAAAAAATGTTTGATCAAAAGATTCTCAATGAAAACTCAGTAAATTGGGGTTCATGTGGGAATATAAACATAAACAACTCAAAGATCTTAATGCATAATATATAGAAACTCATAATCAAGAATTTAGAACTCGAAAATCAACATTATAACTCATCTCAGAATTCTCAAAACTAAGGGTATAACCCTAGATTAAACTTTTATAGATTGAATTTAGATGTAGGGTGTCTATTACTATGATTACCCTTACATACTTGGAAGAACAAAGTTCTTGGTGAAACTGGAAAAACGCTTGAAAACTCTAACTTTGTCCTCTTGGATCATTACTCTAAGACTTGGAAGTGTTAATGAGAGTAATAGGGGTCGATTAATACTATTTAGAACCTTATTTAGGTGTAAAAATGTTGGGGTTTAGGCTTAGAAGGGGTGAGAAAAGATTGAACTACCCCTCTAAAAAAGTTGTTGAAAACCTTCTACGGGGCCATCTACGTTGTTTGATCAACGGACCGTAGATCCTATATGTGGAATTCATATTGAATTTTAAGGCTTATAATTTCATTTTATGTGTCCAAACTACCGTGGAAGTTTCTACGGACCATAGATCCAATCCGTAGAATTCATATTAAACTTTAAGGCTCAGAAGTTCATTCTACAGGTCCAAATTATAGCTCGTAAAAGCTTCTACAATCCGTAAATGGGTTAGTAGGATTTGTGTCACGCCCCGAGCCTACACCCTGGACGTGGCCAGCACTCGAAGATCATTGTTGGCCTCAAGCGAAACCTTGGCCTGGCTTACTTAACTCAGCGGAAGACTATAAGCATTAAGAAAGAGATTCACATGCTAAATAACTCAACTATCTCAAAACTGAACTTACTCAAATAACTTAGTCAAATAGCTTAGAATGTTTAAAAGTCAATATTCAACTTGGCCAAAATGGCAATTCAAGTCTTAACATATGAAATGACAATGTAAAGACATCTGATTACTAACTATCTATGAAGCCTCTAAAACAAAGTGGGATGTCGGAACAGGACCCCCGATCATCCTAACATCTGAAAGACTAGAAAGCAAATAAAGGAGTCCTCCGGAATGCAAGAAGGCTCACCAACAGACTCTGAATGCTCAAGCTGGATCAACGAGGCGCTGGATATTGATCATGGTTACCTACGTCTGCATCATAATATGATGCAGGCCAACTAGCATCAGTACATTGAATGTACGAGTGTGCGAGTTGGAATGCTAAAACAAGATATAGGCTTGAAAGGATTCTGAAAGGAAACACTTACCTGGCTCTTCTCAACTTTTGAATAACTTAACTCAAATATAAAGCAATGAAGCACATGCATATATATAAAGCTTATAAAACAGTTGCAACCAACTTAGTTCGTTAAAGATAAAGCAATAACAAACTCAACTTTACTCATATAAGAAAATAATATGGTTTCTGTAGGAGATTCTCTTGGAATCGATATTCCCTTTTCTTTCTCACACTTTCAAACTTTTTGGGAATACTTAGTACCCATATACTTCTTTGAAGAAATGAAACTCCAAATCTTTACTCTTTGCTTAACTTGAACTTAAGCCTTAAAACAAAGTTAAAATGTTTGTGAAAGACTTTAGAAAACTTTAAGAACTTATCTTGACTTCTTGACTTCACTCTTAACTAATTCTTGAATTGAATTATGGATTCAAGAATCGTGATTTGTGATAGGAAAGATCTCATGATGTTTACGAATGATTTTAGATAGCTAAACATGAGAAAAGACCGAAAGATCAAAATATGAGGGTGGGTTCGCGACGCGGAGGCATATTTAATTTTTAGTTTCAAAAATGACTTCTGAGGTAGAAGACTCTGTGATGGCTCCGCGACGCGAAATGAAAATTCCCAAACTAGGAACCAGCTCCGCGACACGCCACTGATGTCGAATTTCGTCCGACGAAATCTCTTCTTCGTTTTCGGCTCTAAACCCTCTAAACTCCGTGGGTTCTTTTACCCAACACTTAGAATCGATTAAATTTTCAAAGTACATCAGATTCTACTCAAAATCGAACCTAAAATCACAGATTAGGATCAAACAACTCCTCAACGAATTCAACGAAACAGAATCTAATGAAACTTCAACAACCCATTCAAGAACTCAATTTCTAAGCTTTCAAGAACTTAAATTTGCTGAAATAAATCATGATTAGCGCGTGGGCGAATTAACCCAACGCTATGTGATCTCACATACCTTGTAGGGATCACCCCCGACGAAATTCACAAGCCAAACTCGATAATCTTGACGAATCTTGAACGTTCTCCTCCTTTCTCCTCTTTTCTCCTATTTTCTCCTCTTTCTCTTCTCTCAAAACCCCAACTCTTTTTCCAAAAGCGTAAACTGACTAAGTTCAGTTTAGACCCCTAAGTAATTACCAAAAACGAATTAAAATAAAAGGGTAAGGAAAAAAGCAAACTACCCTTCAAAAATTCGGATTTGGACTTTCCTTAGTCCTGCAGCCCAACTTCCAAAGGGCATAACTTATTAATACGAACTTGGAATCGCACAAACTCAGCGGCGTTGGAAAGATCATTCCAACAGCTTT